CTAAAGTTTTCACTGTGCAATGCCGGGTAACTCAGCCAGTATATATATATATAAATAAATAGCTTACAAACTATTGATTACATTAATTGTTTATAGGCAATTAAATCAGTACTATAAAACAATAATGAATTATATATCACAATCCCATAATCGGTCCTAGTTGTCAACTTATTAATGGATAATACCTGTGGTAATAGCACCCAAATGCTTTGGGGATATCCCATCTATCAGACAATATTAAAATGGTGATGTCAATCTAGTCAGCCATCATGGAAAAACCAAACAAAAAAAACATCAATCAAATAAGGGTACGAAGCTGAGTGCTTACATTCACAACGTCTCAGCTTCTACTGCCTTTCACTGTCTATAGCCAGTTGGGGGGAAGGCAATTAACCTTAAATTTCTTAAAGCAAAAATTAACTGAAAATAAGCCATCCTAATATGTCTACTAATTAAACTCCCAATCTCCATCATTACAAAAAGATATTAAATAGAACTATAAAATAGTGAATAAAACTAAATAGAACTACACATCCTACCTTAAAAGTTCTTATATAGTTCTAACTCCCAACCTCCCCCCATTTCTCCTGAAGATTTATTCAAGTATAACACGGGAATGCCGAGACAAACCCAGCTACTTGAAGTTAGTCCGTCTAACCCTGGTTATACTGAATAAAATTATTTGAAAATTTTTTATTATTAGCTACTTATAAGCTAAAATAACAAACTCCCTCTATATTTTATTTATAAGATATTTTCCTTAATTTATAGTTTAGTTTCTAAAATATTTTTTATTTTTTAAAAATCAAGTAATGCATTTCTTTAATTTTCTGTATTTATATCCATTATCTTTCAGTTTAGTTTTAATAATAAAATGTTATCCATAAAAAAAATTATAGCTATTACAGACTATTAAGAACTATTGGTTTTTAATAGTCTGCAAGAGCTTTAATTTTATACTAGTACTGAAGTGTGCATGTATATATATATATATATACTAATATTGAAGTGTGTGTGTATATATATACTAATATTGAAGTGTGTGTGTGTGTATAT